CCGTACCCTAGGCATCGTAACCGATCGTAAAGGATGTCAAGGACCAAAATCCGCCAACGTTAATTCTTTACTGCGGCTGAAATATTCATTTTTAGAGCGTTAGTGAATTAAAAAAAAGCAGTATAAAAACCGGAATGTCCAACTGATAAGGCTGAAAATTTTTTCACTTGTTATTTACAGTAAGATAGATACATTCACCAACTTTTATTAAAATAAAACCATTTAAACTGGGTTTTCGGATTTATATGTCACTTGGTATACATCGCACAACACTCTTTAGACGAACTTTCACATACAATGCAATTTTATATTACAATAGCTTAAGGCAGGATCTGAAGACTATCCATTCTTTCCGGAGTTTTAAAACTCAGTTAAAAAGATATTTACAAGAATTGCAAAACAACCGCTAGCTTAAGTTCTTTCATTTTCATACTTTTTTATCTTTGATTAATTATTTTTCCATTTCTTCATAACCTATTATCTCTTCTTCTTTTTATAGCTAAATTGGCATAAGTAGTCCTATTATACTGTGACTTAATCTTTGTAGTTTCACATTTTTTTTTTGTTTTGTATAACTTGTTTTTTTCACTTTTGTACGGGGTTAGATGGTGGAATAGCAGGTGCTAAATCTCGCCCCATGTAATGTACCATGTTTTGGTCAATAAAGACGATTATTATTATTATTATTATTATTATTATATGGATTTCACTGTATATTTATTTAAGAACTGTCCTGACGAAATATAATCTTGCTACCATAATTTCTGCATTAGTGGACTGAATGAATAGAGTCTAGAACCTTCTCGGGTTATGTGGCTGAGATGATATGGTAGCTTCTTGGGGCGGTATTCTCATGAAATAGAAGGATAAATTCTCACACATTTATTATTTGTAGATCTTTTTAAGCAAGCTTATAAATAATATGTAATCAAACAAAGACCAGAACTTCAAACTTTATATAAATCAGATCAACATAGCATGCAAGATGAAACCCAAAATAAAACAATAATGGCAATCACTACAATAAATAATTAAAAATCTCAATAAGATGATCAGACATTAAATACACAATCGAAAAATAATGTTACTTTTCCAAGTATCCAGTGGTGCTGATGAATAATGAGAAAATATATCTGAAAATAAAATGTCACGTTCCTTGTACAATATTCACAAGTCAGGTACAATTTAAACGGTACTCTAGTACTTCGATAATTCTTTCACCCTATCTGCGTGATACCGCAAAAAGATTTTGAACCTTCATTTTGATTTTTTAGTGTTCTCGGCGTTTGATTAACTTTAGAACAATTCTTCCAAATAGGCTGGGATCAAGCGTATCACGAAAAATAAAGTGACACGCTTAAACTATAGATGTTGGTCCAAAGTTCTTTTGTGGCATACATTCAACGATCAAAATCCGAGATCTTGAAAACAGATAATTCAAACGTCGAGGTCCATAGGATCCCGAACTAATACCCAGATATTAGATTTCACTTAAAGAAAACAGCATAAAATCGCTATTCAACAGTTATGACGCACAGTGGTCTAGAACGTCAAAAAGCTGGCAAAAAAATGTCTGCGGCATTTATACAAATATCAGTAGCATAGGGTTTTTTGTGTCGGTGGTTAGTTTGTCTCTATGAGGTCATTCAAAGGACATTTCAAGGTCATATCGAAGACAATGTGAAAAGAAGTCGAGCAGCTGAGTCTAACCGTAAATCATTTAGGTTATTCGGTTCTCACATTTCAAATTCGAAGTCAATTAGTCACTATGGGGGCATATGTAAGTCATTTCAAGGTCAATTCAATGGCAATTTCAAAACAAGTCCGGCATACGGGTCCAGACGCGTATTATATAGGTTTTCGCGGTCGCTAAGACCAAATCAGCAATCACTTTGAACAATGCTAGCATAAAGAAATGAAGTTAAAGATTCGTTCAATTCACGGTGTACATGAAAACAATGATAATGACAGATTTCTGTTATATCAAATAAAAGTTCGTACTCTCTCTATTATGATCCGTATTCAGATGCGCAAATACTTTTAACACACAACACAACGGATTATACAGAAGCTCTCTAATTTTTTCGTTAAAAATTAGTGTCAAATAACACATCACAAACTTTAAGTCTAATACTCTACCATGGTAGAGGTAGAGTAAGCAAAGCTCTGATTTCATGGCTAACTTATTGTTTAAGGTATTAAACTTTAAAATAGATAATGATTTTAATTCATGTTCTTTTTTCAACTTTTACCAGGATTTCGCATAGATATACCACTGTGTGACCGACACAACGTTTAAAATAACAACGCCGCACCGGTAAAGAATAAAAAAAAGGGACGCGCTACCAGTCAGCATCTTCAAACATCCAGTCTTCATCCGGCACATAAACTCTCTCAGTCTGCACAATCGTTTTCACAGGACATATTTCATCTCCTTGCCAATCTTCATCAGCGCTATCAATATCAGGGCTGGTTTGTCTCACTTCCGAAGGGGCATCCCAATCTTCAAGATCTATATCTTCACTGGCTACAATTCTCAGTTCACTCCCAGACTCTTCTGAGGTAAAACTCGATCTTGACCAATGTTCGCATCGCATTTGGACACCATCCATCCTACTGTAGCGATATTTTTCTCTATAGCTGATCTTCTTTTCAGAGTAAGAGTCTCCAAATTCTACCGTATCTAGGTAGTTGAATTCTAGATCAACATATTCGACTGTTTGGAGATTATACTTCAATGTATCTAATAAATTATCGTAGAGGTCTAGCGTTGAAAGATTTTTCATACTGAACAAGTCTGGAACTTGATCGATAGAATTTCGTGCAGCTTTAAGTACTTTCAAGCTTTGCAGCTCAAGTATTTCTTTGGGAATAGCAACTAGGGTATTATTTGAAATATCCAAAACCTCTAAGTTCACCATATACTGTATTCCATCGGGAAACCAAGAAATTACATTTTTTTGAATGCTCAATTCTTTTAAACTTTCCAACCACAATATACCCTCAGGAAAAAACGAGATCGACAAGTCATTCAATTTTAGCACGGTTAGTTGTTTCCAAACTTGCTTGACGAATAAATCATCGATATCTTTGAACCTATTCGAATATTTATAATATTTGTTGCTTATATCTAAGTGTTCAAGTTGCTTGAAGCATCTCAAGAAGGCAAAATCGCTGTCAATCATGTCAGTATTTCTTAACTTCACCCTCTTTACTTTGGTAACATTGAGGTTAAAACTATTCTTCTTGAAATTATAATGACTAGCTTTATTACAGCTATAATTGAAATCTTCTAAGTTGATACTCTTGAAGTTGAGGAGCCACTTTGGTAAGTCCTTAAATGAGTTATGGTTCAACTTCAATAATTTCAAAGAAAAGACGCAATCTGGTTCCATACCAAACTCTGAGATCGAATTGTGGCTCAAATCCAAGGATTCTAAGTACTTCAGGCCACTATACAGGCATAGAGGTACCTGTTGAAGCTTGTTGTGAGCTAGACCTAAATGTTTCAGTTTAAGTTGTTTCAAATATTGTGGCACTTCGGTTAGACAGCAATGGGAAAGCTCCAGTATAGTTATATTGTTTATATCTAAGCTTGCCTCTAACTTAATACTAGAGGATAATAAGTAGTTCAGAGCTTTTTCACAGTTGTTACTTTTATCATTGTCAATATCTTTGTTCGCGATGATTTGTATTGAATTTTTCCGATTCTTCAGCGTAATCAGTTTATCTGTCGTATTATCAAAGCCTGAAAGAAAAGGTTTGCTGCATAACTGTTTAAAGCGTACCAAGAAGGGTAAAAATGTTACTAATACCTTATTATGATACAGGATGCTAATAAATTACATGGCCAAGCTCCATGTTTCACTGGCCAATCGCAACCAGATGTGTTGTAAAAAATCTTTTTTATTGTAGACGTTATGGTCACAACGGTGACCGACTTCAGTACGATGACTTTGACAATATAAGTGCTTTATCTGTCTTCTTGGTGGCACTTCGTTTGTTATTTCTTTTCTTTGTCATATTCCTATACCACTGTATAATAATTGTTCAATTTTATGTAGGCTGATTGCTTTACCTTCCATTTGAATTGTCTTTCTAGTTCTTCTGTGGTCCATGCAGTGGCGAAGCGTCCATGTAACCAATGTTACCATTGGTAACAGTTAAAAATCTTGAAAATAAATATTTTATGACTAAGTGCTGTGAAATAATTTCATTTATATGTTTACCAACAGCAACATGTAATAGTACTTCAGTAAATAGCAAATTAGCCACAAGAAAATAATGCGCCCTATACTATCTAGATTTTGCGAACGCGATGAAGCTGACTCGCCTCGACTTGGTTGTCAGTTGTTACCATTTTCGTTTACGGATACACTTGATAGTCCATCGGGGACCGTCGGAGCCGGCTCGTGTCTGATCGCGGTCGCCAGAGTGCGTGGGCCGCTGCGACTATTATGAGGGCTTGTTACCACTTTTTGTTTTGGTTACTGACTTCTCACTCTTAAGTAGCCGTTTTAGTTAGCGGCTGTAGAGTGCGTGCAATTACAAGGATAAATGTCGCTGCGTAATCGATCAACTACTTAAAAAGTCATTCTCCTTATATAATTGTGAAGAAAAAAAGGAGATCATTGAAAATGAAGACCCAACACCTTATTTTAGATGATTTTAAAAAGGAATAAAAAAGAAGTTCGATATTTTAAATTATATAGTGAAAACTCTTGGTTATGAGAAAAACAGATTGTATTGTTGGCCATGTCTTATGTTTTCTACAGAAAAAAATATATGGACCAGCAGCGGAGTCAAGGATTTAAATAGTTTTAGGGCTCTAAAGAGGAGACATGAAATTTTTTCGTTACATGTGAGATGTGTAGCCAATTTGATGCAGTTTGGCAAAACAAGAATCGAAAGTTGTCTTTACTAAGCTTTTAGGCAGCCCTCTTATAGATGCCGTATCTTTTTTGGCCAAACAAGAATTACCATTTCGGGGTCATTTTGAAGTGGATGACTCTGGCAATATTGGAAATTACAGAGAATTGTTAACATTAATTGCCAAAAAAGATCAAACATTTTCCGAACATCTAGAAACGTCATCTGTTTTTTCGGAAGGCCTGGATTTGTCATAGTATAAGGCGATGAGGTATATCAAGTGCCCCAGACGCCCAGTGCGGCAATGTTTACCTTAATTTAAAAAAAGTTGAAATAAAATACCTAAAATTAGCAAAAACTTATATTTGGTAGGTTCAAGATAAACTTTTTTTAAATAAGATCTTTCACATCTGGTTTTGGTAACAGTTTAGGAAAAGTCACGCGTCGCTACTGGGACCGTGACGTAATTTGGTTGAATATTCTTGATCCTGATATTTTCCAACCAAACGTATGGATTATGAGTTTTTTTCCACGTTTTTTCTAAGGGTTTCTTGATGCGCGCAGATGTTTTTCTTCTCCATCCCAATGGCAAACTGTTGTGTTTATTATTTGCACAGGACAAACAACATAGTTCCCTTTGAATGTCGAAGTACGATTTCTCCCGTTTCGGGTCGATAAACAATGAATTTAAAACATTTTAGTCGAAAATTGATTGACAATCAATCGGTGTGTTACGAAATGAGTTCTGGGTGGGGTTTCACGTTTTTTGGTGGGCTTTTGGCGTCTTCGGTACAATGGACGAGGGTGGCGTATCTGGTACAATTAAGCGACAGATAACCGTATGCTCGCTTTTCTCTTTTGAGGGCCGTACGTGTGGGGGGTGCCTACCCGCAGGCGTTCGTGGGCTATGCTGGTTTTGCGTGGTGCCAACTTAAAATTTGAAAAGATGTATCTCATCATGTTACGGGACCTTTCATACTATTGTAGTAACATACTGTATAGGAATACGAAAATGACAAAACAAACGAAGTGTCACCTGGAAGACAGAAATAAAATATATTGTCAAGATAATTTTAAGTTTGTAAGTTGTGAAAAAGGTCACCGTTGCGACCCAAATATTTATGTTATTTATTATCCAAGGGAAAAAAGTGCTAGACTTTAGCTTGAGGGTGTAGACAAAAAGCCGAAAGCTAAAATCTAGTATTTTTCCCGTATACAATACACACAATTTTTTTCTGTGACGGGAAAAACGACGATTTAATATTGAAAAATTATAGTATTAGAATATACTAAGTGACATATAAATCCGAACACCCAGTTTAAATGGTTTTATTTTAATATAATTTTGTATAAGTTCTTAATGAAGCATAATAAGTAAATGATAAAAATTTCAAAATGATTGCACTGCTTTAAAGCCCTTTGACCTTTAATAATGTGTGGATGCACCCTGATGTGCTACTCATTCTCCAACGTGCCTAGGCATGCTTCTGATCAGGTGGTCAATGTCCTCCTGTGGTATCTCATTCCAGGCAACCACCAACTCCTCTCGCAGTGCTTCTAGAGTCTGAGGAGGACGTTGCAAATTGAGCAATCTCCTACCCATCATATCCCACACGTGCTCAATTGGGGATAAGTCGGGAGATCTTGGTGGCCATGGTAACAATGTGACATCATTATGTTGAAAGAAGTCTATTGTGACTCTTGCAACATGTGGTCGGGCATTATCTTGTTGGAAAGTTGGATCTGCCAGGGTGTCAAGATAGGGTAAAAGATGGGGTTCTAGAACTTCGTGGATATAACGCTGCGCGTTCATGTTACCTCTGATGAAGATTAAAGGTGACCTGGAACCATAAGCTATAGCACCCCAAACCATAACTCCAACAGTGTGAAACATGTCTTTCAACAAAAAACTGTGGATTCCTCCTTTCACCACGTCGCCTTCTAACCCTGGCACGACCATCGTGCATGCCTAAACAAAATCGAGACTCGTCACTAAAGACAATACTGTTCCATTCCTGATCCCAGAGTGACCGTTGTCTGCACCACTCAAGGCGATTACGTCGGTGTTCTCGAGTTAAAGGGAGGACCCAGTGAGGCCGGTATGAAAACAAGCCAAAACTTCTCATTCGTCGGTAAACACTTCGCATGCCAATAGGTCTTCCGTGTTCTGCAAATCATTCATTTGCAATGGACCTGGTAGTAGAGAAACGGTCCCTTAAGGCCAATAATCTTAGGCGGCGATCTTCACGGTCTGTTGTTCTACGACGGCGTCCAGTGCCCCTTGCTCTTTGCGTACGGCGTTCTCGAAGCCATGCCTGACAACACCTAACCACAGTGTCTACACTTCTTTGCACTCTAACTGCAATTGCCCGAAAAGAAAGTCCAGCTTCCCGAAGTCCCCCTATACGGCGCCTATCAAACTCACTAAGTTGACGAAATCGTACAGGTCTCCGTACTCTAGGCATCGTAACCGACCGTAAAGGATGTCAAGAACCAAGATCCGCCAACGTTGATTCTTTACTGCGGCTGAAATATGCACTTTTAGAGCGTTAGTGAATTAAAAAAAAGCAGTATAAAAACCGGAATGTCCAACTGATAAGGCTGAAAATTTTTTCACTTGTTATTTACAGTAAGATAAATACATTCACCAACTTTTATTAAAATAAAACCATTTAAACTGGGTGTTCGGACTTATATGTCACTTAGTATATTTAAGTCAGAAAATTATCGATGTGGAATTTGAATTTTGAAATTAGGAGGCTATGTGTACTTAAAGCAGCAATTAGACCTGCATTGCTAAGGAAACTTTTAAAGTAATAATATAGCTGTCAATTTAATTTTGTGGTTTGATTTAAAAATTGTGAACTTAGTGGTTGTTTAGAAGCTATTTTTAATACTATAAAATGAAAAATGTCTGATTCCGAGTTTTCTTTGACTCCAGCGAAATAAGTCGAAGTAGCCAAAATAGCTTCACAAAAATTATCGCGAGCTAAATCGCGGAAAATTTACGAAACCGCGTATTCAAGACTCATGGAATGGAAGATGAAAAAAACATACAGTTCTTTGTCGGAGAGGGTGTTATTGGCTAATTTCTCGGAATTGGCTCAACAACAAAAGCCATCAACAGTGTGGTCGAATTATTCAATGATTAAAAGTATGTTACGATCCAATAATAATGTAGACATTTCAAAATATTTCAAACTAATTACATTTCTAAAACAAAATGGAAAGGTTGCAAGCCCAAGAAAGGTATGATTTTTACGAGTACACAAATTAGTGATTTTTGAAATAATGCTCCCGATGAAATTTATTTAATGGCCAAGGTTGTTGTTGTATTTGGGATTGCAGGAGCTTATCGAAGTTGTGAAATCAGCCAGGTAACATTAGATGATATTGAAGATTTGTGTTATTAATTGTGAAACTTAAGGAAACAAAGAATGATGTAAACAGGAGATTTGTAGTTACTGAAAAATATATTAGATTTTACCGCACGTACATAGCCCTTCGTCCAGCAGCAGCAAAGGATCGCCGCCTGTTGATGGATCGGTAGCACACAGGACAGAAATAGCTAATAAAGTGTTTAGAACGTGTGGTAGTGCTGAAATAACATTGGATTTGCGACCAAGTAGGTACATTAACGGAAGTTGTGATGGCAGAAAAATATATAATTTCAACACAAGAAAATTCGACCATTGTGTGTCATTCATGCAATGCACATTTAATAATTGTACTTTTTATATAAAGGAAATGTAACTTCATTGTATAATAAAATATTCTTAAATTAAATATCTACCTTTGCTTACGTGTTTATACAATATCGGGGAAAATAGTACTAATTTTTTTCCCGGGGAAAAAAAGTAATTTCATAAAAAGTGATATTTTGTTAGCTGTTAACAGAGATAAAATGTCAAACTTTTTTCCCGCCACAGAAAAAAGACGATTTTTTCAACACGTGGTTTCGATTGGCCAAAAAATATGGAGGATTATCGACATGATAACCACAGGATAAGTTTCAGGTCTTAAAAACCTCAGAGGGTGATTTCTTGGGTAAGTCTGAGAAGTCCATATAAACATAAAATAATATAAATTTTTATGCCAATCCTTCAAATAAAAACTTCGTTAAGGTTCCAGCATGATCGCTTCGGAGGTTACTGTATATAATGGATGATTCCAAATCTTGAAGATGAAAATTTCCATAATTTCTAATACCCCCCAAAAAAACTCTTAAAAGTTGCATAATAATCTGTAGTAGTAGGTAAATAGATATTAATTAGCCTTTTAGCAACCTACCCTGTGTAAAATGTAGATATAACAAAAAGTAATGAATCAAATTAAGTATATCGACGGTTTAAAGTTTAAATTGATTAGAACGTCTTTTACCAAGTAAGAACGAAAATCTCCACTCATTATCTCATAAAAGCACATCTACTACTGCGAAATGATAATTCGTAAGATATATGAGGAGGCAACTTCATCATTCTAACCAACTCAGTATTTTGAATCGAATCATACTTGGATCATCCATTACCGCATGCCATAGCAACACATCACTAGTTCACCATTTTACCAAACAACAACAACACAACAAAATAAGCAAATGTAGCGAAATATGAATGAAATTGCTCCAGAAAAGCATAAACATTTACTTACCCATTTTATTTAACACTGAAACACTGAACAACAGCTATATTTTCTATCTAAGTTGGGAGATTTCAGCAATGTTTTGATTCTACGCACCACCATTGACGTCTGTCAAAAAGTGAGGTTATGGTACGTCGGGGTCCGCCGCTCTCCGTGAAGGTGTTCCAGTGGCGCCACGCCACGGGTTTTGTTTGGGTTTATACCTTTGGTTATACCATCGACAACTATAAAGGGGGTTTTCTTGAAGCATAGAGATAAATGGAAACACCATTCACAGAAAGGTATAAGTATCAAAAACTTTTGGATTTGACTACAAATGTGCGAGTGATGTACTTATGCAGGGAGCTTCCTAAATATGCAAAAATGATGTAAATCATTCCAAGAATATCTCTATATGCGAATATTCAAGGATGTGAATCTACATGAAAAATTAATGTTATTTTGCTTTATAAACTATGGTTTTGGACCTTACAAAAACTCGGGGTGTTGAAGTTTTAGGAAAAAAATGGAAATTAATTAATATTTTCAGAACCGCTTCAAATATTTCACTGATATTTAGTACGTAGTGAAAGTTAATAGAGTTGCAGATTTTTCAATGCAAAAATAATTTTTAGTTTTAATAATGGCGTGCGTACGGGTATTGACTTCGATATTTTTCAAGAAAAAAATGGTACGCGAATGGTTTTTTGCCAAATAAAAATTATTTTTGAATTCCCCGTTTAATTTAAAACAAATGATCTGTCTTGAATTGTTTTCCTTCGATGCGCCAATTTTGAGTAAAAAAATAAAAACCGTTCTATTGTCCCAGAAAACTAATGTAATAATTGAAGAATGCAATTTAGCAATAAACATCTAGTTGCTCTGAAATATCTGACATCTGGCATTTGACATCTGAAAAGTCTCTGTTATTCAAATCTGTTCGCTGCGACATCTTTTTCATTATTTAGTTTTTACAATCTTGTTAATAATGGTGAATTATTCAAATACAGAAATGGCGGAAATACATTACGTATATGGCTTTACCGACGGTAATGGTGAGCAAGCCAGACGGATTTATCACCAGAGATATTCCGATCGTGCTTTGCCACGTAGTCGAACATTTTCTAATACTCATCATCGTCTTGTTGAAACTGGTTCTGTCCGAAAAGGAACATATGTAGACCTCTAAGTGTGAGAACACCTGAAATTGAGGAAGCAGTGCTGCACGAAGTCGAAGAGCATCCTAAAACGAGTACGAGGAAGATCGCTAGACATTTAAATATTTGCCATCAAACTGTTTGGAGAATTTCAGCGTATTTTTTGTTATATCCTTACCATATTGAGTACAGGCATTACTTCTCATTGATTTTCCAAGGTGTGTGACCTTCTGTCAGTGGTATCTTCAAAAAATTACACAAAATCCGCCATTTGAATCAATGATTCTGTTCACGGACGAAGCTAATTTTTCTTGAAATAATATAAATAATAATAATTTTGCAAGTTAGACAATAGAACGGTTTTTATTTTTTTACTCAAAAATGGCGCCTAGAAGAAAAACAATTCAAGAGAGATCATTTGTTCTAAATTGAACGGCAAATTCAAAAATAGTTTTTGTCTGGCAAAAAACTATTGGCATACCATTTTTTTCTTAAAAAATATCGAAGTCAATACCCGTACGCACGCCACTGTTGAAGCTAAAAATTATTTTTGCATTGAAAAATATGCAACTTTATTAACTTTCACTTCGTACTAAATATCAGTGAAATATCTGAAGCGGTTCTGAAAATATTAATTAATTTCCATTTTTTTCCTAAAACTTCAACACCCCGAGTTTTTGTAAGGAAACATTTTTGGACCATAGTTCATAAAGCAAACTAACATTAATTTTTCATGTAGATTCACACCCTTGAAGATCCGCATATCATTTAGGAACACCCTGTATACATATAGGCTCTGTGACATCATCATAGCTCCCCAACAGACTTGAGTGTGTTTTTTTAATCGAAAGTTCTATAGTATCTGTCGAGATAGTTCCTACCTGTGTTTGACGTAAATTTGTTCATTTGTTTGAAAGTTACGGGGGGCTGCCGAACGTGGTGTGAACAACTCAAAAAGTGAGCGAATATACTTGAATGGGGTATCAGAGGAAAAGGTTTGATTTGTAGACTACTATGTCGGTCTTTTAATCAAAATTAGTCAAGTCACTTAAAGATAGAACCATTTTCCTGTATTATTATATCAATTCTACCAATAAACGTGTCCTCACTAGATTCACATGAAGATCTGGTATTTTTTAACTTGTGTAGCAATATTATCAAGAAAAGGCTCAAAAGACACCGCTTATTAAAAATGGTTTGGCAAAACAAAAGAGTATGGTTTGGCAAAACAAAAGAGTACTACCTGAAGAAAGGTGCATTCAGCACCTAATATGGCAGCTATTCAAATGCAAACAATGAGTTCACAAATATCTATTAATTAAGAGATTGATTTAGGTACTAGGGACTCTAGCTCCGACACTGAAGTAAAAATCCATGTGTTAATTACAGAGAACAGTGAGGCTTTATCAAGATCCTGCCTAGAGCATTGCAATCTCAGCTTTCTTAAAGAGAGATTTGCGGAAATTGGTTCCAGGCAGAGAAATATAACTTCTTTGCTCTAAGATAACGTTTACATTGCCCCGAAATGAAGTAATATCGGGAGACATGCTCTTATTTTAACTGCTAGATCTCATGCGCTGCTGAGACTGGTTAGAAAATTATATCACTATCGTAAATTGGCTAACAATGGAGAAATACATATATAGAATTATGCTCGTCGAGTTAGAGAATCCGATAGGGTTTCATCGATGATCACCAACGGTTTTATACACTACTCAAAGAAATTAAGGGAGCAAAAAAAAATTTTGCGGTAATCTTTGGCAGCCTATATTTCGATGAAAAATGGTCATATCTAGAGTTTGGAAGCTTTTGGATCCGTGTTTTCAGGTTCTTTAGCCGAAAAATTTTAGGAGCAAGAGTTCTCATGCAATTCTAATGGCGCAAGGAAACTTTTCAGTCCACGGGCTTGAAATCTTTTTCTGTCAGGTCATCATATAGATTAGATGGGCCGTTTATTTGGTTCCAACATCCTGTTTTTAAAATTTCGTTACGATCATTTGGCGTGGAGATGTCTGACTTTGAATGATAAAGGGTTCTTTTTTTCACTGATATCTCGGTAACCAGTGATCGCACAGACAATGTAATGGTATTTCCGAAAACCGGAATAAAAATCCTCAGATTTGATTGCAATCTTTAAGCAATCTTTTTTGTTTCCTTAGTATTGATTATAAAAAAGTCAAAAAACTACTTGCTTTGTTTTGTAAAAGCGACTACATTTTTGGAAATGCTAATGAGAAAGTTAATGTGTTAGGTTTCTTTATACCACAATGTACCCCTTTTAACCCTATATGACGGCCATTGTACGGTTTCTCTGAACCGAATGATGCAAATTCAGTGCCGACTATTACTCATTTCGGTCGTATGGAACACTGAATGTTTTTTAGAATAACTTAATAAAATGTTTTCAATTGCTATCTTTAAAATTAAAGGTGATATAGATATCCAATGGTAACAACAAAAGAAGAAAAATGATTCTTCCATTTTCAACCAGATTACAGGATGCTTTGAAACAAAAATGTTGCTTCTTCGATTTTTTTCAGACTTCGACCAATCGACCTTGAGAAACCGTATAATGGATCGATATGCTGTCGTGTAGATTTAAAAAATCAAAAAAACCAAAAAATATTATCTTTCTCATTTGCAGTTCCAAAAATGCGGTCGCTTTTCCAAAACAAGGCAAAAAGCTTTTTAACTTTTTTTAAAATTAATACTAAAGAAATAAGAACAATGTCTCAAAGATTTCTTATAGGAAATTAATTCCAGTTTTCTTAAATACCTTTACATTCTCTGTGCGATCACTGATTACAGAGATATCCATGGTCGCTGACAAACGGATCCTTTTTCATTCAAAATCGGATATCTCCGCGCCAAATGATCGTATCGAGATTTTAAAAATAGGATATTGAAGCTGAATAAACGGACTAACTGATCCATAGGATAGTTTAACAAGAACAAATGTGCATGCCCGTGAACTAAAAGGAAGGAAGCAACCATTTTGCATAAAAAATGTCGTTGGCCCTATTTATATTTGGATGAGAACCGTTGCTTCTAAAAATTTTTGGCTAAAAAGCCTAAAAACTGGAATCTTTTTTTTTTATTTTTTCCTTTCTCCCTTAGTTTTTTTGAGTAGTGTAATATGAAATCGTGGAAACCGCCATAATATGCGAACAGTCATTAGAATGCGAAAAATTATGAGAAATGAAGTGACTTAAAGAAGCTCTTTGGTGTAACGACCAATTTGTGACAGATAGCAAGAGTGATGTCATCGAAAGTGTCCGTGCGAATTTGTGGGAAAATAAATGAATTATTTTGTTTTTATAATCTTATACACCACAGTTTGTTATACTTGAGGTATTTTAAAATGGTGTGGTGTTTTTTACAGCGCCTTTCAAAAAGGCCCCGCTACTTATTTTCTGAACGGGTCAAATTAGCAAGCTACATAGATGTTAAAAATGTCAAGCGCCGTAATGGATCATTTTTTAAATGGAATGAGGGTTATGTGACAACATGAAAGCGCGATAGTATGTAATATCAACATTCGCTTCTTCCAAGGCTCTACGCAGACACGTGATAGGATTGGGACGTTCCATTTGAAAAATTGTCCAAAAATGTCAATTTCCTTAAACTGAATGTTTCATATCTTGCACAGTCAGAGGGACCTGTGTTCAAAATAAGAGAATCAGTATAACAAGTTTACAAAGCCGTTCAAGTTTGACTAGTGTGCCATTTTGAGATAATAAAGACAATTAAATTATATTTTAGAATTTAAAAATGATATAAAGCTTCGAAATGAGGTATTACACGATCCTTAAACAATTTCAAAAAATGTCCAAGATGGCGCTCAGCCACCATTTTGTAATTTTTAACTGCAATTTTTACGTCAAAACATCGTATTTTCGTATCTTGATAACGTGGAAAGAGTATCTACATACAAATACTTAATATGTCTTTTCAACAAGTTATTTATTTAGCGTATAGCACAGATTGTACTAAATAGGCATATATAAAAAAGATATATCCCAGAATTACAACTTAGTTAATGTAGTAAGTGTAATTAGATGTTTAAATTTATAGTATAGTCAGTGCTTGTGGAGTGAGAAAATTTGAGACAGTGTCACATAAATATCGTGAGTTGGGTGTTCAAAAAATACAGAAAATGCACGTATGGACCCACGTATACCCATAAGGTAATCACAACACAAGCCCCTCCATATCTATCAACCAAATTTATCAGATACTCAGATGTTAATCAACTGAACACAAAGAATAAGCATATCTTGGTTATCCCGAGACATTCAACATCTCTATTTAAAAGGTCGTACGTATATACTGCTATCAAGCTATGCAACGCGTTGCCTACCGAGTTCACTCACTACTCTATAAAGAATTTCAAAAAAAGATTGAAGCATTTTATCTCTAATTTCATTGCCCAGTAAGTAGATCATGGCCATGAATAGGGACTCGTTACAAGTTTTTTTTTAACTTTTTTGTTTTCATTGGGATTAGAAAATTTACACAAATATTTGTTGGGTTTAGTTGAAAAACGCTTTTTAGCGACACTTCGCCTTTTTATACTTTGTATAAATAAAGCCGGATTATTATTATTATTATTATTATTCATTAATCATCTAACTGATTCACAGGCTTCCCTGGGTTAAGAACGCTGGCACATCGGTTTTGAAACAAGATGGCCCGTTCGATGCTAATGTTAAAAACATCTTGTTCTAGTTGCCGCCTAAAACTCTACAGACTACACTGCATGTGTCCAATACGACCGACTTTTGCATGGGTAAGTATAATTCAAACGGTAATCCTAGTTGTTGCAGTGATGTTTTTAATTTTTTAGGTATTTCTCCAGTTGCTCCGATCACAATGGGGATGATGACTACTGTTTCCATGTCCCACATTTGGCGGATTTCATCGCTCAGGGGTAGGTATTTATTGATTTTTTCTCCATGTGTCTTTTCTAGATTGGCTCCCAATGGCACAGCGAAATCTACTATGTATGTTTTGTTTTCATTTTTTAGAGTGAGCACGATATCCGGTATATTATTACTTATCGGTCTATCAGTTATAATTTTTCGATTCCAGTAGAGCCGGGTTTGTTCATCTTCGCACACAGCAGGCGGCTCGTATAAATAGTACGGCACTATTTCTGTCAATCCCATGTACTTTTCACGAAGGCTTTGGTGGATTATCTTTCCGACTCTGTTGTGCCTGTCTAGGTAGGATTTCGGTGCCAACATTGAGCAGCCAGCGATGATGTGGTCCAGGTATTCATCCTTTTCACCGCACACACGACATCTGATATTGTCTTGTCGTTCCCGCATTATGTTTCTTTTATATACTTTATTTGCGATGACCTGATCTTGGATAGCAGATATGAACCCTTCTGTCTCAGCAAACAGGTTTCCAGAGCGGAGGTAGGCCGTGGATGCGAATGTATCGATCTTATCGCTCTCGAGTAGAGTGCGGTATTTACCATGAAGTGCCTTACCCTTCCATTGTTGCAGTTGTTGCTCGGGTATGAGCTGGTCCACGCTAAGGCTGAAGTTTTGGTCTGCCAGTCTTAGAGGAGTAGCCTTATTGTCCGCCCTTATGATAGCGTGGTGAATCTCACTGGACGCAGCCCTGGCGAGGAAGTAGTTCCTAGGGTTTGTTACTTGCCTGTTGTGGTTAATAACTAGATCAGGTATACCTCTTCCACCCAACTTTCTAGGCAAATGGAACCTTTCCAATGATGAACGTGGATGATGTGCTCGAAATTTGCTGAACTCTTTTCTGGTTTTGATATTGAGGTTTTTGAGTTCTGTTGCTGTCCAGTGAATCACTCCAAAGCTATAAGAAACTGCAGATGTGGCATAGGTGTTAACTGCTTTTGCCATGTTCCTGGCATTATTATTATTATTATTATTATTATTATTATTATTATTATTATTATTATTATTATTATTATTATTATTATTATTATTATTATTATTTATTATTATTATTATTATTATTATTATTATTATTAGTTGACGAATACTATAACTTCAATAGTTGTCACGTTATTTACCGTATGGTTACTAGCACAGAAAAATTTCTTACTGAATTAAGGATTCATGCTCTCTCTAGGGTGGGGGGTTCGAACAGATATTAGTGGAGGGGAATTCACTTCACATGCCACAAAAGCTGCCTGCTGTCTATGTGGTTCTGGGGGGAGGGGTTGAGCCTCAAAGCCACCCCCTTTGAGTAAGCCAGTTGTGAAATAATGACAGATGAAATTAATTCCGATTCTATAATTTTATTGCTACAACAGTATGTATAATAACGGACTCATAAAATACAGAATACACCACTATTTCAAGATATCGCTCCCTCGACTTGAAGGCATATCAATGGTTGCCCGACGGCCGTGAATCCCACTATTGTCATTTTCCAGTATCCTGATAGAGAAATTACTGCTATGGAATTGTCAAGTCTTTGTTTCTTGGATATGTACTTACCCTACAACATATATTGCAATTTGAAATAATGGCTCGCTTGTAATCATTAGTCCAGATTAGCAAGATCGGAAGATCAGTTAAAGTCTTTTTGAACGTTCAAACGAGAAAGTCTAACAAAATTCTGTATAGATTTTATTTCAAGCTCTCGTGGTGAACAGTAGATAAATAGATTTTAGTTGTTACTCAGTATGGCAACAACTACAGCCATAACTTTTGTCTCAATGACTTTAATATTTGAGCTCTCACACCACCAATACTTTGAACGCTGATAACTATCCAATTCCGGAAAGCGCGCCAACTCAAAACGTTTAAAAAATATTTCAGCACTTGCCGGCTTGAGAGGAAAACGTAGAGGAGGGTTGTATTCAAACATATTTGCCCAAGGTGAGGCAGGGTTCTTTAACATTGCATCAAAGTTATTCAGGGTAAAATTCCTGGAACCTTCACAATAGTCACCTCCATCCCTACTAGCGCATTTTGTAGCCATTATCACCATCTGTAAATAAAACGATCATACAAAACATACTTAAAAATTTACAATGCTTGAGAAATTTGAAAATATTAGATTTAAATATTCCTACATTATTCAAGAATGTTGAAGCATCACTGTTAGCCAATTTTATGATTCAGAGATTTTTTTAAATCATTTTTCGATCCTGTGTAATTTAAAAAGCCTGAAGGTTGTAACGGTTTCACCGTCCGATCGTATTTATTAAATCACTTCTCGATTATCATTTCAGAATCGCAAATCATTAATCCCATCTCTAGCTTTTTTGATTGGAAAATTTTCCGCTTGGAGCGCTTGATGCGGAGTTCCTGATCTGCGATCTTCCTCGCGCTTCCTTTTCACTTGAGCCGCCGATCTAGCAAGAGCTAAGAATTTTGTTCTCTGTAGCATGAGGTCATATAGCACCATGTGCTAGAATTTTGTAGAATGTGTGTCCGAATAGGAAAAAAATGGTGAGTTTTATTGCTGGATCTGCCTGTAGTTTATAGATAATCGATATTTAAGTGGTTTATTTCTTGTACGATTTTAGAATATCCATCGAACGTCATTTTCGACTACTTCGATCATTCGCCATAACTTTAATCAAATCGAGGTAGAAATCGATCCATATCGATTTTACCTCTGTGTGCGTATATATATTCATCATAGTTCAGTGAAATTATGAGTACGTTGATTATGAATATTCGATATTTGTGTTTTTATATCAAAACATGTGGAGAAATTTTTGATGACCACCATCTTGTTTTACGCTTTTTTTTGCTATTTCATGATTTTATTTTATGAAAGGCATTTCCAATTTTCGGTTTGATTTTATCAAACTATGTAATGTAATTCTAACCTAGAAAATCGTTGGTTCTCTTTTGAGGCAGACTGAGATTGGAAATGCCTTGGCCATTAGGGCACGTTGCTAATGCACACGGTTCTTTTCCAGATTTGTCTTTGACTTTGCTTTTGCCTTTGTCTTTGACTTTGCATTGCTTGGCCTATCACATCACCCATGCATGTGCCTTGGCAGCGCCATCACCTTTAAGTTCAACTTCGCCTACATCTAGTTCTGAAGCCACTAAATGTGAGGCCACCCCTCATAACTGGGACCTCCACTTCAAGCACCTGGCCATCCTCGCTTCAGTCCAGTCAAAAATGGACCAGCGAAAGATAAGTTTTATAGCAGCGCCAAAGATTTAAAACTTATTTTGTTCTTTAAAATTGTAATGAAATGAAAATGCTTTTGGTTAAATAAAATCTGTTAAATTTTTGTGTTCTGTTTGTTCTTCTATCCTCTAGCCATGCCATGGTCGACACACAGCTACACGCCTGTAGATGTCTTCATGCCACCGACTGAGCTACCGGAAGCTAATGCTAACCCCCTTTCTGTGACTGTGCAGAAAAGTTGGAATCTTCATTGCATTCCATCTTTTCTGGACTTTTTGCGTAAAGGAAGCGTTACATAAGGTGCGCGCTCATGGAGGGGAAGGAAAGCGAATGGAAACAAAGAATTAAGCCTCCTGCTAAATCTCGTGACACAATCAAATGACATACCGCATACGGGAGGGATGCTAGCTGAAGGGTAGCGACGTATCATGTTTGACACGTGCAAATGACAAATTTCACCGTAATTTCTCCGCGTCGCTTGTCCTCAATGGATGAAAATACTATAATGGCTATAACTGCAAACTATGCATATAAAATCGACTTCTAAATTATTAGACATGAAACTGTTGATATTCAGCAAAAAGAATATTCAAATGTTTACATTATCCTACCTTAGCAAAACGATCTATAGGTCTTTTCACGAGCCATGCATGTGATAAAAACGTTTCTCTCTTGGTTCTCTCTATTTTCACATCGATCACCTCAGCAGGTGTGTTAGGATATTCCTTACATCTTCCAATGTACTTGACAATACTTACTTCCGCCTATAAGGTATCAGTAGCATAAATGTAGTATGACTGCAGTAATAATCAAATAAGAAATTTTATTTTAAAGTCGCTGTCCATACAACAAAAGTTCCAAATACGGTCCTAAGTTTGACTCTACCTGTTCACATTCTCTTATCTCAGAAACTAAGGATATACAAATAAGTGTTGAATACAGAAGCTCGAATCAAAGTTATGATTTATTATCAATTGACAAATAATCCATAAACTTCATCTACTGCGAGAGTTTCTCGATAAAAAAATTTAATAACAGTTTATAAAGCATTTGTTTGTCTATAATTAGATAAGGAATATTAGGAAGGGGGAACTATACAGAGTGACCCATCCATGTGTGGACGGCATATTACTCATAAACAAATACACTTTCAGAAAATCTTTTTATGGCAAGTTATACATGACATTTGAGAGTGCATTTCTAAAATATTTGCAATTATCCAATTTCACATACCCTGTATATTTGTGCAAGTTTAGATTCAGTTTTTTATAATCTTTTTTTTGGAATAAGGTTTGATTCAGATAAAATCATTAGATTTTGAGTTATTAAGCTTTTAATAGAACAACACACCAAAATTAAGGAAAAAACACATCATCCATGGAAACAAAAGACAGACAGTGGGCTAGTTCCATATTGCCACTAAGAGTACAGATTTGACGTAAAAACTAATAACAATCGGAAAAAGAACTATAACAAAAACATAAACAAACTACTATCACTACTCAAGACCTAATCTACAAAAACTGCTCAAAAATATCTCCACCATGTTGAATACACAGCCGTAGTCTTTGTATAAATGACCGTTGCACATCCCTCAGCATGTTATGTTCAGAAAAGTATCCTTAATCCTTTTCTTTATATTTTCCGGGGTAGATGGTGGATATTTATACACCTCCTCCTTAACGTAGTTCCATAGAAAGAAGTTCATCGGTGTCATATCTGGTGATCTATGAGGCCAAGATATAGGCCCACCACGACCGATCTAACGATTGTTACTCCAGGTGTCCAAATACAAACACAATTATGATAATGCGCAGGTGCGCCGTCATGTTGGAAGTACATATGCATTCGAGTTTGCAGGTTGACATCCTCCAAAAGCAAGGGCAAATGCTCGTTAAAAGTGTTATGTGCCTGTTAATCTATTGTCGAAAAAGAAAAGACCGATAACCCAGTAAGGGTTTTCCGTCGCATAATAGTGCATGTTATGCCTGTTGACAATACCTGTTCTGTTTAAAGTTGCCTCATCGTTAAAAAGGACTTTATCCAGGAAAGTAGTGTCTTCACTCACTTTATTTAGCATTATTCTACTAAACTCCATTCGAGCTTCGAAATCCTGAGGACAAAGGCCTTGATGCAAGCATATGTGATATGGATGGTACCTATGCTTGTGGATAATCCTTTGGACAGAAGTTCTGCATATATCAGTTTCTGCTCCAATTTTCCATGCACTTAAATGGGGATTTTCCTGCAACTTTAATAGAACCTCCAACTGATTCGCCTCATTGGTGACACTTGGATTATTTATACATTGTTTACTATACTCCACTGCTCCACTTGATTCAAAATGTTCTCGCAGTGTGGAAAATGTTTTCTGAATTGGATGTCGCATACTCGTATTAGGGTACCATTGCTTATAAATGCGAGATGCTAGGAAACTAATTCTTTGGGCTTCGTCCAAAACTTACTCCATATTCACCATTTCTTCTTTAGAAAAATTCATTTTCAAACACGTTTTTATTAGATATAATGCTCACAAAGCTAATTTTGACAGTTTGTAATTAATCAACAATTTATTTTCCGAGGATGATGCAATATTCCATAAAAGGCGTGCTAATAACCGAAAAAATAACCGTAAAAACCCTTATGTGTATAGTATAAAAAAAGCTTATAAAAAATTGAGTCTAAACTTGCACAAATATACAGGGTGATGCGCTTGAAATTTTTAAGAAAAACTACAATTTGCGTTTTTGGCCACCCTGTATGAGCAAAAATTAAAATTCAAAAAAAGTAACAATTAAGATAAAAGCTGAGGTGTGTAAGTTTTTTTGGATACAAAATTCAGCACACCATATTCCAAAATGGCGGACTGAGGGGTTGCCGAAGTGGAGGGTTTTCTAGACAAAACACCTTATATCTCAGTAGCTAATTACCAAACCCCCATAGTATGTTACAATTTTCTTCTTTTGAATTGGTTTATCCACATATGTAATATAATTTGAGGCATTCCATTTGAAAAATCACAGCTTTGATATGTAGGTCGAAATTGGGATACCCTGTACAATGACCAATATTTTAGAAATGTGCCCACAAATGTCAAGTATAATATCCCATAAATAGATTTTTCCGAAATGTAATTGTTTATGAGTAATAGATTAAAATTATTTTAAGGAAAGATTCCCCACTAACACACCTTTTACAAAAGATGTGTGTAATATTAGAACCTTGTACGTGATGACAGTATCTACTTTTATTTATAGAAATGAAAAGTTACGAGTACAGAAACAAGTAAGTCATAACTACGGTACGCAAACAGAAATTCCCTAGAACGATAATGACTTAAATTTAAGGTACATAATGTATATAGGACCAAAGATATAGGACTATAACGTTCTGCCAGAATACTTGAAAAAGATGAAAAATATTGAAATATTTAGCACCAGCTGCAGAGAATATATTTTTGAGAATGCTGCGCAAGTTGAAAGGCTTTTCTGATGGTTTTTTGTATCATAGCATGACTAATTTATTGTTTATGATGTTGGGGTTGACTCTTGTTAATTCAATAAATTCGATTTTCTTTTGTTAGCCCGGATGATATAAGCACATACAGAAGGTTTGAAACATCTAGGTGCATCTTTCTGTCATCGGGGTGTCCTTGATGAAGATTGTTGTTTTTATTGTTATTGTTTTTTGTTGTTGATATCTTGTAGTAATATTTTGTAGTAGATAAAAATAAATAATAAATTAATAAAAGTAAGAAAATGTATTTTTATATATACTTATATATACATCCTTTGCAAAGTAAGCATAAGCTTCTTTATTTAGGACAGTACCCCCTACATGTTTTACTATTTTCAGGTTTCTCATTTTGCAATGCATCTGATCTTTACATGCACTAGCTTACTTTGCTAAGTTTTTATCGGGATTTTTACGATATATCATATTTTATTTATTTTTGGTGAAATGGCTTATTGCAACCTTAATGGTTGATTTCGGCATAAATCACTTCATATACTCCTTCCCGACTCTATTCTTCCATATTACTGTTCATCGAATATACAGGGTACTTAAAACTGACGTCGAACCTTCACAACCCAACTAACAATTATCACTCCTATTAGAGTTGCAAGAATGATTATACAGTATTCCAAACAGCATTGTATACTGTAAGAACATTGGCAAAACCCTCTTAGAACAGCTATACAAGCGGAATGGGCACACCTAATAGGACAATTCAGTCATTTAAGAGGTTGTATAAGGGCTGCAGGTAACAGTTATAAAACAAAAGTGTAGGCCTCTTGCAGCCGCTATAGAACATTTACGTCAGTGCAAGATTCAGTTTTTGTCAACTATACAACTATTCTGTTACATGATTCTACTTTATTGAAACCAAACTATTTCTTATGTATTGTATAGACGAAGTGAAGAATATATAACTAACACATTACAGTCATCTTGTTTACTTACATATCGGCCATTGTGAATTTCATACACAGGTATATGATAAACTTCTACACTTTGATATAGGGCTATTGAATTACTTGCGCAGCAAATTTTGTTGTGATTATCGTGCAAATTAGTTACCCAATTTCTACGGGCTTCGTATTTGATTCATATTTTGACAATGATGAAAAGTATGTCTAGATTTTTAAGATGGAAAACTGAACTTATCTGCGTTAAATCTTCCACAAATCCTATATTTAGATACAATTACACTAATGTTTATCACTTTATATCTGTAATTTCGAATTGAAACATAATTATTTAATATTAAATAGAGGAATAAATGTTTGCCCAATATGGTGGGTGGTTGTGTACTATCATGGCATCGTCCATGTTGTCTTTAGGTTATTAGAATATTTTGGTGTTGACTGCAGGTGTTATACAACAATTTGACAAATGTCTGAAATAAAATACCGACAGAGTCGAATAATTTACCCAGAATTTGTACCAGATCTATATCTTCTGTTTGAACAGTTGATAAAACCTTTTGAACCAATTTGCATGCGTTGTTTGTCTTAAAACATTGGTTATGGCATTTTAACAAAAATATGACAGCAGAAAGTTAGGTTATGGTGAAGTTGTTTACCAACATATTTAGCATAAAATGTACAGCCTTTAACAGTTACTGAACAACAGTTGTATAAGTGCTTCCGTTGGGAGCAATTTGTTGGCTAAGGTAGTAAATTGCACAGCAAAACAACAAGGCTCGGGTTTGGTTTATAAACGTTACCATGGATGCCACAACACAAACATTTTGACTAACTTGCAAATATGCCGTATAAAATAGTTGTATAAACGTTTATGCAACAGTTAAAAATTTGCCCTATAAGGTGTTGTATAACTATGCTATAAGAATATTTTAAACACCTCATTTTGGAGCAAATATGTTGCAGAAAGCAAATTTGTATTCCACACAACATTAAGCCAGCATTTTGGTGTTCAGGCAACAACAGTAGAGAGCTTTTATGGCTGAACGGTTCTTTTACCAAAAGCTTATACCACTACTTTGCTAGTTGGGAATACTCTGTGTGAGATCCCATTTTTTTAAATCCCTTATGTATTTATATATAGGCTTTCAGATGATTGAATTTCCTTTTGTTTGGTATTATACGAGGTCTGTAAATTAAGTAATGAAACTGGCAACACTGGAAGCGCCAAGCTTGGAAGGGAGACGGGAAACATGTGATCCGCCTTCAGTACATGCTTGAAGTTGCTCGAGTCATTTGGTTGTTCGTAGCGGTTTTTTTTGTGAAACAGCTTTTCC